GAAAAATGTCCATACTATCTAAGTCCACATTTTATTGCTTTATTATTTCTGTTATGTATTTTGGAAATGGAAATCTTTTGACCTTAAAATAACCAAGTAATAAAATAAAATTGTAACAGAAATTGAAAAGCCATGCATGTGAATCTTTATTTCAACCCATTAAGATAAAAGTGAGACAAGAAATTGATGTGTTCCACTCATAGCCAACAGAAAAAAATGAAGCAAATCTCTCTTTACTCAGACTGTACAATTAGATCAGCATGAATAAAAGTGGATAGGCTCTCACTGGTCACTATAATGGGCACTTAGAACTACATAGATATTGTTAATGGCTTAGCCAGATGGCACTATCTTAGTCTGTTTTATGTGACAAATTACTTGATTATCTACTCAACTTATTTCCCCCAGGAGTACTTACTGGTTTAGGAACGCTACATTACAAACACCACATCATAAAGAAAATAGGAAACTTTAATGTCCAGCACCTTTGAAATCTCAATCGCATTTTACTGTTAACAACCATAAACTATTTCTCCTGTCAGTTGCAACATAAATTTTGAAAAATGGTGTTTGAGAAAATCCAACAAAAATACGAAGGAAGAAATATGATCGAAGTTTGTAAGTGCACTGTGGACAGAAAACTCCAGTAAGTATGCCAAGTCTGTGCATAATAAATTTCTTAGCATTTAACAGAAGGCTTTGGTGGTGGTGTGCACACACATATTTCAACAATCACCATACTGTCTGCTAATCATTGTTAGATAATAATAATACTAAGGACAAAACCATACTCATTTCCTTGACAACATTAAGTAAAAGGTCTAAAAGTATTTTTTAAAAAAGCTCTGCTCTCAATATTTTATTTGACAGATTATTACACGTAGAGTCACATGAAGCAAGTGAAACACAATGAACTCTTTTTATAATATACTTTTGTCTTCTCTGAATGTAAGCTCAAAGACTGGCACTCAGTTAAAAAAAAAGTCAAATAAGGGAAAAGTCTCCAAACACGTCTTGCAGTTCCTAGGAAGCCAAGGGAACTATCCCTTAGTGAACTTCTGTCATCAACTTAGCAATGTGTATTTTCTATGACTAGTCCCATAATTGAAATGCAAAGGTAATTCAGATCATTTCTTAAACGTACCAAAGCAACTACTAAATCAACCAATCAGCCAAAGGCAGTAAAACAAGCTATTAATATAATATGTATTAATCATATCCACTGCAATTATGCAAATGCAACTCAGGCTGCTCCGTATAATTTTAGTATTTACTACTTTTGCAGAGCCCACAAGTTTCTAGATGCAAAAGCTCTAAGAAAGAATGCATGAAGGGTGTGGATGCTGTCATCAGCTGTGATCCCAGCTGACTTGGCTACTCTAGGCTAAAAGTCACTTCTTGCTTCATCTCACAAATAAACTGCATTTTCACTCTGCCTAATATCTTGGTTAATCAAGAATAAACTTTGCATGTACTAATATCAACAATTTATATCATAATTCTAATTATATTACATCACATTTGTAATAATACTTTGAGCTGATGAAGTATGACCTTTTTTTTGCTTGCAGTAGCATCAGAGGCCAATGAGTAATGAAGAATGTTGGCCATGTAGTCTGTTTTTGTATGAGAGTCCTTTGAGATGCCTTTTGGACAAAGGCTCCAATTCTGAAGCCAAAAGGCAATAGTTTATAGCAAAGAATATCACTGTGAAATTAGATTTTTTTTTAAAAAAAGTGGTGAAGCCATCACATACTTCATCGGAAACATTCCTCTTCAGTTAGGGATTTGCAATTTTAAGTTTTAGTTTAAAAACCATTGCTCATTCCTGCCTTTTTCTTCCATTCATGGACGTGTGCTCAAGTGATGCGGTCTACTAAGGCTCAAAGGAAGGGCTCTCTGAAAAGTAACACCTACAACCTTGTCATTTTCCCTGGGGAAACCTATTCAAGCACATGGCCCAAACACATGCTGTGTGTCTTCTGCCTCTTGCCAACAGAAAAGTAAAAATGCTAGCAGGGAAATGACAGTAAAATCAGCATCAGGCCACTGAATGCAGTTTATTTCAGCACAAACAGTTAAATTTTATGTAGTGGACTCATCTGCTTGTGTGTTTCTTTTAAAACAATCACCTTTAGGAAATGATATTGTGATTCAACTTATAACTTAGTTACGTTTAGAAACTATACTTCTTCAATTTCAAGTTTTTGATGATAAATGGCACATAGATGCTATACCTCAAAAATATGGCTTACTTTTTCTTCAATCAGAGACATCGTTCAACTCACAAAACTAAGAATGAACCCTAACATTCCCGATGTTTCACAGCACCATGACTTGGTTTTCTTCTTCTATAAGAATTATAAGTCAGGAAAAAAATGCAAGCACCACTTAAGCAGCAGAACTCTGAAGTCAAGAGGCTGCTGTGTCTGGGAAGCACACCCACTCTAGGAGAAACTTCATCTTGAGTGAACCATATGAGAAGTAAAGGATCAATCTCGAAACAATTGAGCAGCGCAACCAGCCATATTCACAAAGGCTTTCAGTGCAGTATTCTCTCATCTTATTCACCAGGTTTAAGATTAAATCCATTCCCTAATATCATATGTATAAATAACAACAAATGGCTTAGAAGAAAGAGAGGAAAAATACACCTCTATTGTTCTCCCCAGTGATCTATTTCCTAAGACTTCATACTATAGAAATCATATTTCAAAACCAACATCAATAATATGCCCAAATATGCTCATGGGATGATTTTAAAGTAAAATACTTCATACATGCTAAGTCATGTTATCCTCAATTTATGGCATATTACATAGCTCATAAAGCATGTACTTGATGTGGGAACTCCTGTTATTTGTCAATGAAGCACTGCTGGCCAGTAGGAATCTAGATAGGTGGGACTAGGAGTCCAGGAGGACTCTGGGAAAGAGAAACACAAGAAGTCGAGATGTAACCGCCATGGGGTAGGAAGCCCGGAACTATTCTCCGGTAAGAGAAATACTTAGAGTAACAATTATGAGGTAATTACTTAAGTCAGAGCTAGCCAGTAAGAAACAAGCAAGGCCAACAGCTTCATAATTAATATAGCCTCCTGTGTGTTTATTTGGGACTGATGCGGCTCTAGAACCAGGCTGGCGGGAAGGCTTCTCTCAAAGCAAAAGCCTCTCTTAACATGTACTAGGTACTGTTCTTTGACATAAGCAAAAGCTAGCATTCAAAGTTACTGTCTCTCTCTGTTCACCACTATTGGATCTCTCATGTTCTTGTGACTTGTCTTCAACAATAACTTCTTAATTGCTCAAGTCTGTGACACTGTTGATTGGTTACTTTATTGACATCAGCAAAGTATTGTGGGAAGTAAACTAATGTCCTCAGAATTTGACCTCCACTCTCCTACCATAGCATGCACCAGCCACTGCTGCCTTCTGTAGTCAGAACTGAGTCCTTCCCTCCACACACCCACCAGATGCCATCAATTGTGGAGAGCTACACTTCAGCATCTCCATAACACTTTTAAAGAGGTCTCTCCAATGGTTTCCTGTCTCGAGTGTTGTGTTTACTCCAGGTGGGGGGTACAAATTGTCACATAAGTCTTCCATGTCCCTTCATCTCAACTGTGCATCTGCAGTCACTGCTATCACAGCAGAAGTAGGCTCGCTGCTCTTCACAATCAGTGAGAGCATGGACCATGGTCTCTGATGACAGAACAGTCTATCAACACAGTCCCCTCGTGCAGTAGGACCACAGACCCAGACAAAGCCTTGAAAGGCTACCCATACCTGGGACATCACCATGGCCTCAGTTGGTAGCACAGGCCATTAAGATCAGTATAGACCCCCGCAACAGCATGGCCCTTGGACACAGGCATGGCTTCAGGTGGCAGCAGACCATAGGTATCAGTATGACCTTTGCTGAGCCACAGACATAAATGGGGCCCCCACTGGGGCAGGTTCAGGCCTGGCTGACTTCTTCCACTGTCTCCCCTAGATTTTACACCTGTTGGAATCCATGTCTGCAGTGTCACCCCTATTTGCCCCATCGATTCTCCTGTGTTCCTTTTAAGGCATGAGCAAACTTTATACAGTTTGAATGTAGTCTACAGTTCCCCTCTTCCATTATCTTATAGCCGCTGCTGGTCCAGGATAGGGTATATTTCTCATTTCCTCTTCAACAAAACTATAGTACCTGATGCTTAGTAGAATTTAAGAAAGGTGTCTTGAATGAGTAAACTAATAAGTGGATAAATGATACTTGGGGAGGCAAGTATGCACACATGTGTGAAGCAGACAGAAGGAGAAAAATAGAGGTGAATTAAAAACTTTTATCTTTTTTGTTAGTTTCTTTTGGAGGAAAAAGAAAGATCTTTAGAACATACAGTGAATGCTATAGAAAATGTCTGCTGATAAATGAGTGCTAATTAGTAGAAAATTGAGTTTTGCTATTGCTTTTTCTTTCTTTAGGAGAAATGCTGACTTACCTAGGTTTCCTGTATAAAGAATGGTTTGCCAAAGTCACACTCTTCAACACTGAACACAGTACTAAACTTAGAATGTTCTCTTCCTCCTTCCCTGCCCCTCCCTTCTCTCTCTCTCTCTCTCTCTCTCTCTCTCTCTCTCTCTCTCTCTCTCTCTCTCTCTCTCTCTCTCTCTCTCTCTCCTTGTTAAAAATGAATGGGCAATTTTCTAAAGGTGAGCAGCTACGTGGTGAGGATCTGCCTCTCTCTGGACTTCAACTTCCTGCTTAATGAAGCCCGAGTCTCTTGCTGGCATGGAAGTTGAATACTGTGTTTCTTCTTGCCCTTAAACCCTGCTTCAGCCTTTGCCATAGCCATTTCGTCTCTGCTGTTCTCCTTTGCCATTGTAGCAATAGTTCATTATCAAGGCTGAACTAAGTGTGAGGTGAGGTGACGTCTCTGAGGTGTGAGAGAGGGAGATCTTCACATGATCAGCTAGGGCAATTCTTTCCTAAGCTGAAACTGCACTCCTCCTGTCGCCATGGCAATATTAAACTTTGCTGAGGAAAGTGGAGCTAACGCCATCCACGTATTGGGAGAGTGTAAGGGATGCCTCCCTCTTACAGTCAGTATACCAAGAAATTGTCCAGGAAGATCCCAGAGCTGTCCTCACACAAGGAGTAGCAGGATGTGGTAGGCAATGTCAGAGGCTCAGAATAACCATCATATCATTTCAGTCTAGAAGCCCCAAAATGACAAACCTAAAGAACAGAGAACACCAGCATCCCAGATCAAAGCCTTCCAATAGGAAGTGTTCCCTCTTGCTTGCAGAGGCATGGTCTTTTTCTGTATGTTGTACTCAGACTTTCCTTTGGACTGCCAGCTCACAGAAAACACGGAGACAAATGATTAATTATGAAAGCTCAGTCTTAACTTGGGTTCTTTCCCAACTAGCTCTTATAACTTAAATTAACCTGTCTCTATTGAGCTACGTTCTGCCACGTGACTCGGCTACCCCTCTTCTCTACCACATGTCCGACATCTTCAGTGCCTCAGTGGCATTTCTCACAAGCCTAGATTCATCTCAAGTTCCTCTCTTCCCCCAGAAAGCCCACCTATTTTCTCCTGCCAAGCAACTAGCCATTCAGCTCCTTCTTAAACCAATTGGAAGGTGCCATGGCAGAAACACATCTTCACAGAGTACAAAAAAAGATTATCCCACAACATTGTATTATTTAGGCCTTTGACTGAATGGAATGACACAAGCTAATACTGGGGAGGGCAATCTACTTTAATCAACTCACTTAAAAATTAAGCACTCATTAAAAGAATACCTGCCCAAATACATCTAGTAAAATATCTGAGTAAATGCCTCAACACCCAGAGACCTAATCTAATGCCCATAAAATGACCCACTACCCTAGTCTGTTCCCAGACTGAATAAGCCTACAATCCTCCATCATTTCACACCTACAGTACAAGGTACACAGCGGTTCCCAGTGGACCATAATGCACACTTGTATATGTCATCTAAAATGTTACAGAGGCGCCAAGGAGCATGACAAAGGTCGCAGGCTGAAGCTCTGCTGTGTCATTGCAATGACATTTTGCAGAGCCTCACTTTGACTTGATGCCCCAAAACATACCCCCGAATTTTGTTTGAAACTACGACTACTTCTGTAACGTATCGGTCTATAAAAATGTGATTTTCCCCCAAAGGTGTAATGTCCTCGTTTCAAATCGTATGATGGCAATTCTGTCTGAAAGGTCCCTGAAATAGCCACTTAGGTGTAATGCTCATACTTGATGCAGGCACATGTCTAACCTGCACGTGAAAGTCAGAAAATAGCTAGACCTGTCATTCTGCCTTTGCTGTTTCATTTCTACCATTATTTTCTAGGACAGATTATAGAACTGAAAATGGGCACACGGAAGAGAGCTTGGACAGGCCTTAAAACTTCGCACAGATTCTCAGGACAGAGGACACACCTGTGCCACTATTTAATTTAAACCACAATCAAATTTTCTTAACAAGCAATGCAGGTGCTTTTCCAAGTCAGTACAATGGACTGCTTCTTGATTTATACTGCACAATTTAAACAAGATAGACTGGCAGCACACACTTGTGGGAGGAACTCTCATGAACTCAATACTGTGTATGGAGAATGGGCTCCTCAAATACTCAACAGTGGTAAACAACATACATATTTTATCCAAAACTTTTTCAACAAGAAATGTTCAGTTTATTATTTATTCTTGTCCAAACTTGCTTGCATTTGAAGATATATCCAGAATATGTCCAATAATTTTATACATATATATATATACATATGTAATAATATGTAAAATTATATTACATATATATGTGTTAGTTTGTATATAAATATCAGTTAACTTTCTGTTTTGATTTTTTTCAAGGGTGATTTTAATAAATATAGTATATATTCAATATGTAATTATTTATTTATTTTAATATATGTTTTGATACTATACTACTGACAATGGATTTCTGCTAATTATAAGCCAATCAAGCACTACTGTATTATATAAGTCTTTTGCTCACTACCCCAGTGACCACAAAACCTCTTCATCTGTGAAATGGAGATAATACTGGCATCCACGATTTAGAGTTTGTTGACATAATTAAATGAGTTAATTTACAGAAAGCACTCAGTACACACTGAGTATACACCTAATATCATTATGATCATTGCAACTAGATGAGTTAACAGGTGGTCATCCCTGATACTCGTCAGCATGCCCAGTGACAGTACTGGCTCTCATGAAATTCGTGGCAAGACCACTGCTGTGCTGTACAGTCTTATGGATGTTCACACACTCTGCTCTGTGGAAACTTACAGTCAAAGTAAATACTCTAATTTGCATGTTGTTGGCTTGTGTATAAATATTGATTAACTTTCTGCTTTGAATTTGTTTCAAAGGTAATTTTTTAGCATTTCAAGAAAATGAAAACTATTCATCTTAAATTTGTCCTTATAATTATAAGCTAAACAACAGATGCAGTTTCCATATAAAATATCAATAACTAGGGGATTTAGAATTGACTGAGCAGTTAAGATCACTTGTTGCTCTAGCAGAAGTCCCGGGTTCAGTCACCATCTCCCGCATGGTAGCTCACAGCCAACTGTAACTCCAGGTCTAAGAAATCTAATGTCCACTTCTGACCTCTGTGGGCACCAAGCACATATGTGCAACACATAAAACAACAAATAAGTAAATCGAAAATATCCATAGCTACGTGTCATGCAATTAGATTACTACACAATTATTTCAAAGGGGCATCTTAGCTCTATTGCCCAAGGATAAAATAATGTGTAAAATTTTCTTGATATTTACATCATATACAAAATTAGAATTTGAAAATGAAAAATTGTCTCATCAGGGTAAGTGATGTAATTCTCTTAGAATAAACAACAAATATCATTTTCATTATAAAATCATTAGAATTTATGAATATTTGATAATATCTTTGCAACCCCTTTATTTGAAGTCAGTAAAGAAAGAAAACAAACCCATGGGAAATATCCAAAACATTTTCCAACTTTATTTTCGTTTTAGAATGGACAAATTATTGATGCACAGTTGACTGCCTCCATTTCAGAGAAAGCAATAAAGTAAGTCATAGTTCTGAAAAAAATCGGGTTGTTTCAGAATACTCTTGTCACTTGACATGGTTTGAATGTGGCTTAAGTATACTCCAAGGTGTCATGTATTAAAGTAGGAGATTTCTTTGAGAGATAGTGAGACAGTGAAAACTTAATTCAACTCTGTGTTTAGAAGTGGGTCCTATGGGAAGTGATTAGGATTAGATCAAGGCATCCATTAGTGTAAAGACCTCCTCGTTGAATCCTGTTGACTTCCTAGGAAGAGGGTGAGAGCCCAGACAAACAGGTAGATGCACATGGGCACACTTCAAGTCTCTTCTGTGTTCTATTCTGGTCTACCTCAGGACACGATCAACAAAAAGGGCATCACTAAATGTGCCCCTTTACCTTGTATCTCTGCAACCCTGAATTCAAATAAAACTCTGTCCTTTGTAAAATTAGTCCTAATTAGATAGTGCATTATTGTTTAGATAAATGGATGAAGCCTAACATATAAAAGTAACACGTTTCCCATAATGATGTTAATTGCTATACAGTACTCATAACCTTTATATCACTGAGCTTTATTCAAACAAAAATAACAGATGGGACTTCAGGAAAATTAGCCTTTATGTGACTTTTTTTTACTCTTCATACGTGACTGTTAGAGAAAACTACCAAGTTCACTAAAACCTAATTATATGTTGTTTTTATTCTATATTCTGAGTATTTCATTCAAATTGGCATTGTAATTATATCAATTTTATCTCAAAAAGATATTGATCAGATGTCATGTTAGAAAACCTACTCTATACAACTTGTCAAAGTTTCTGTACAAGCTTTCCAAGTGTGTATTTTAATTCACGTTATTATTTGCTAAGTTGGATTTGGGAAGTGCACCACTTTCAGAGGATTCAGACTAGAATCAATGGAAATATAGGATTTGCTGGAGCTTGGAAATAATGACCTTTTTATGATATCAGTTTGTACCTGTGTCCTTCTGTAAATAAGCAAACAAAGCCTCAGTGGATCTACATAAAACAACTGACAAATGCGCATGAAGACACAGACACAGTATCGCCTTGGATGAACTGTCATCACAACTTGGAACAACATCATGGTCAGCTTAAACTGAATTCCTCTTGAGTGCTGTGAGAGATAAATTTCATTTCTGTTACCATGATGAAAGATCCCAACTAAAGTGACTCATGGAAGGAAATGTTTACTCTGGCTGACAATTCCGGGATACAGTCCACTATGGCAGGAAAATGATGCCAGCAGGGTCTTGAGGCTGCTGGTCATAGAGCATCCTTACGTAGGAGATGAGATGAAGAGAGATGAGGAACTCAAGTTTGTGATATAGTCTTAGGCTACCATAGAAGGGTTACTCGAGCCATACAAAGTGGTTGTTCTGGCAAGCTAGATGACTACTAAGCCATTAATGGATGGGTAATACCTACAGTAATGATATATCCAACAATGTGGTGGTCATACCCTGGGCATAGTGGAAAGGGAATATGTGAAATTTCATTATATTATTTGATGAGTTTATTATTTATGATTTTTTCATTGCATTTTACCAGCTCAACAGTGATTAAAAGCACAAAGGTGCAGAGAAGGGAAACCTATTGTGTTCCTCCATTCCCACCAGAGAATTTGAACATCAATTCTCATTATATTAAGCAGATAAATCATTAGAAAAATTAAAATTTGAAATTAAATTTTGCTCTATAAGACTATAGAAGACTTACAAGTGAATACACTTGTGAATATTACCTCTATTAGCTCTACTCTCTAATTGACCATTCAAATACGTTCCCCATCCTCCTAGTAAAAGTTACATTCATTTTAATCTCTAAAACCATTAGCACTTCCGGGCAGTAGTGGCACACACCTTTAATCCCAGCACTCAGGAGGTAGAGGGACATGGATCTCTGTGAGTTTGAGACTAGCCTGGTCTACAGGGTAAGTTCTAGGACAGCCAACTGTTTTTTCTGTTACACAGAAAAAAACCTGTCTTGTAAAAGCAAAACAAAAGTAAACTAAAGCAAATAAAAATATTATTACAAACTAGGCAAACTTCTTGCTCATCTCAGCACCACTGTAGACAGTAATCAAAGTAAATATTTTAGCCTAACCTATTACATCACGATCAATTTCATAATAAATTCATCAATGGCCATTGTCCTTTAAAGCCCTGTTTTCATTTTGATGTCATCTCTACAGGGCACTTCAGAGGTGAATTGGCTTTAAAATAACCTTTCTATAGACTCCTCACCTTGATGTGTCAGTCCACTGAAAATAATTTCCTAGTCCATATCCTTCATCTAGCCATCAAGGCAACATTGGTCTGAGTTCACGTCTTACCCAGTCATTTGGATAATGTCCAAATTCATGCTGAAAGGTCTTCACTGTGCTTAATGTACTTTGTAAGCAAATTTCAGAAGAAAGCATATGGCCTAATGCAAGTACCCCAAGATTTAAATGCAGCTATGATTACTCTCCATGATATTATGTTTAAATTATCAAAGACAAGTCAGGAATAGTTTGTTCTTCACTTCATAATACACAGGGACCAGAATTTGGCTCATACTATTACCCTGAAGATGAAATTCACTATACCCTGAACTATTCTTGGCAATGAAAATGAGTCTCTCAAAATGAATCACATCATGAACGCAAGACATTGGTCCGCTCAGCCCACATCAGTGTAAATCCTTGCCGACGCTGCAGATTTATGTTTTCAACTTGGCCTTTCTGTCAATTACTGCAGGGCTTTAATTTCTTTTCATTGGGATTTTCTCATTTTCTTCTCCTACTTTCAATGCTCCGCATATATTACACACCTGTATTTGTCTTTGATAATGGGAAAAAGACTCATCACTTTCAAGGCTCACTCGACATATCCTCATTATCTTGGGACTATCTTCACCAAAAATATATTAAAATGTCACCCGAGAAAAATGAATGTATATCAAATGTACGAATATTGCAGGGCTGGGTCCCTATCTCTGTCTCATTAGTCAGCACACAGTCTCCTGGCTGAGCCTACCTTTGAACAGAGCCCAACAGAACAACAAAGAGATGTGAGACATACAAATGAAAAGGAAGGCCCTTTCCCTGTTGTGTTAACAATCAACCAGCCATTCATCAAGTTATTTATTTTCCCTACTCAAAGATTGTTTTGCATCAGAACCAATCCCACTTCCTGTTCACTTTGTAAACATCCATTGTGTACCTCTTATGTGCCAGAAGCTGTTCTAGATGAGGGTTAGGGTGGACAGATAAAACCAGTGTAGTCCCTGCTTTCCTAAAGTTTATAATCTAATGAAAGACTAGAGATAAACAAATAGAATGTCAAGTGGGTAATGAAAGCTAAAGATAAAAACAGGTAGCACAGCAGGTAAGAGCTGTAAGCCTGGGCAGACTGAGGCCTGAGGACAGTGAGGGTGGTATGCTCTCACAGTGGCATTAGACTGTAAACTTAAAGGAACATAAAGAAGTCACAAGGGTATCTGAGAAAATAATGTCCTAGACAGAAAAGTAAATATATGATAAAATCCTCCGTTAATATACCCTAATCCAGACTAGCTTGGGGGGAGAAGCATACATTCAATTAAAGAGAATGTCAGAATTGTGGATGCCTTAAGGTGTTACACATTATTTCATTACCTTAGAAATTTCAAAAGTATCATGCTCAGACTTTATAAACTGCAGATTTGTGTGGTTTGATTGTTGACAGTAGACTACACACTGGTAAGTTACCGTTGTCTTGCCTTTTTTTTTAACCAGTAGACATAAAACAGTTGAGGTTTTCTTGTAATTGGAAGTCATTTGGTCACAGGCTAAGAAGTTCTCAGTAAGCTCTTAAACTGGGAGAATTTAGAGAGCAGAAGGGGTGTAAGCAGATGTCCCCTTTCTAGGTTCAGAGCTCAGATATCAAGAGACACTTGCTAGTTTAGACATAGACACTTCTTTGCATAGCAGAACAAACGTTCTCTATAACAAGAGGCTGCACTGTTTTAAAGAGGATACAAATCCCAAGGCTCACAGGTGATCTGATGCAGGCATTCAGATGTTTCTGCATACACAGGAAAAAAATAAAAAGCAGAGGAAAACAGAACATGCTAAATGTAGGAGAATGCGAAGATAATGGTGCAGAAAATCTTCAGCTCGCAGAGAGGAACAAAACGCCTGTTTCCCTATTTTCTTTAGGTCTGAACCCACTGGGGAGCTCAATTTCCTTTCCCTGTGCCTGTATCCCTTCCATCCTTGCAAAAATGAAGGGCAGAGGAGAAAAGAAATGAACTAGAGGTTCTCAGATAACTGCATCAAGATGAGTAGGAAAGAGGTCACTTTTCACATTGAAGGTTGCCCACCTCTACCCTGGGATAGTTTTAACTTCAGTTTCTAACCCGGACTCACTTGGAGGAGGAACAGATGACTGACACCAATAGAAATGATTAAGGCTAGGCTCTTAACATTTCTCCTCGGACTAAGAAATGAGCATCCAGAGTTCCTGCGACTTTCTTCCTCCTCTGAGCACTGAGGCTCGGGCCACTGGCTTCTAGCCACTTCCTTGGTGCCATGGCCCCCCGAAACGGCGATCTGGACTCCTGCTTCAGTCCAAGAAACCCAAGTCAGTTCCTGCTGCGAAGCTGGAGGACAAGTCAGTCTCTCTTGACCTGCTTAATGGAGAAAAAGAACAGCAAGAAGCAATTGAACACATTGACAAAGTACAAAATGAAATAGACTTAATGAACAAGCCAGTAAGGGAATTTTGAAAGTAGAACAAAATTACGACAAACTCCGCCAGCCATTTTTCCAGAAGAGGTCAGAATTGATCGCCCAAATCCCAAATTTTTGGGTAATAACATTTGTCAGCCATCCACAAGTGTCTGCACTGCTTGGGGAGGAAGACGAAGAGGCTCTACATTACTTGACCAGAGCTGAAGTGACAGAATTTGAAGACATTAAATCAGGTTACAGAATAGATTTTTATTTTGATGAAAATCCTTACTTTGAAAATCAAATTCTCTCCAAAGAATTTCATCTGAATGAGAGTGGCGATCCATCGTCAAAGTCCACTGAAATCAAATGGAAATCTGGAAAGGATTTGACAAAATGCTCAAGTCAAACACAGAATAAGGCCAGCAGGAAGAGGCAGCCTGAAGAGTCAGAGAGCTTCTTGACCTGGTTTACTGACCATTCTGATGCAGGTGCAGATGAGTTAGGAGAGGTCATCCAAGACCATATTTGGGGGGCAAACCCCTTGCAGTACTATTTGGTTCCTGATATGGATGATGAAGAAGGAGAGGCAGAAGAAGAAGAAGAAGAAGAAGAAGAAGAAGAAGAAGAAGAAGAAGAAGAAGAAGAAGAAGAAGAGGAAGAGGAAGAGGAAGAGGAAGAGGAAGAGGAAGAGGAAGAGGAAGAAGAGGAGGAGGAGGAGGAGGAGAGGGAAGGAGAGGGGGAGGGGAGGGGGAGGGGAGGAGGAAGGCTTGGAAGACATTGATGAAGGGCATGAAGATGAAGGTGAAGAGGAAGATGATGACGAAGGGGAGGAAAGTGAGGAGGATGAAGGCGAGAATAACTAGCACAGAAGACTGATGGATTCTAGGCCTCCTTTTTATTTTCTCTTACTTTTCATTTTCTCCAGTCCCTAGAAGCAAATTGCAGTTATTTCCCTCCCCTTCCCTCCCCATCCCTCTTGTGCTCAGTCGCCCTGTTTTTGAGGTCTCTTCTCAACACCATGGTTCTCAACTTACTTGGGGGGAAATACCTTGAGCAAAATACAACGAGAAAAGAATCTCTACTCTTCTGTTCTAGATTCATTTTTATCCTTGTCTCAGACTATGGTTGCAACACCACCAACATGCTCTGTGGGGAAAAAACAGACGCCCTCTGGCTCCCTGGGCTCTGCTGGAGGCTGGGGGTGCTAGGCCCCTGTGTAGTAGTGCATAGAATTCTAGCTTTTTTCCTTTCTCTGTATATTGGGCTCAGAGATTACACTGTGTCTCTATGTGAATACAGACAGCATTTACCAGCATATATCTGTCTCCTTTCTCTTGTTTAATAAAAAGAAAAAGGGGGGGTATAGAAGGTGGGCAAGGGCAGGTTTGAGGTGTTTGGGGGGTAAGTGGGCATTTTGGCAACATGGCTTCTCCCTTGGCATGTTTAATTGTGATGTTTAATAGATATCCTTGCAGTTTAAGGTGACACTTTTAAAATAAAATTCTCTCCTAACAATGACTTGAGCCCTGCCACTCAATGGGAGAATCAGCAGAATCTGTAGGGTTTTATTTAGAATTGACATTCTCTGTTGTAACTTTAATTTTTTTATTTTTATTTTTTGTTATTTTCACTGGAAGGAAAAAGATGCTCATTTTTAAATGTTGAAGTGTACAAGTTGCTTTGTTACAATAAAACCAATGTGTACACACACACAAAAAAAAGAAAATGAAGATCAAAAGCAACAGAAAAATGTCCAACAAAAACAAGAATAGTTAGAAATTTTATATTTGTATTTTTCCTTTATTCTTAGTATCTCCTTTAAAGAGATAAATATGCTGTGTGCTAGTTTCTCAGTATTTACAGATTTTAAAATGTGGGAGAGAAAAGCCATCATTTAAAAGTTAAAACAAATATTTAAATAAAATTTCAAAGGAAATAGTGGATTTTTTTTAACCAACTGAGCAGGCAATAAGTAGAAAACTGTCATAGAACTTATTGGGATAAAAAATTGTTTTGTAAATTTTAAGTCTATATATTTCAGATAATCACCTTGATTCCTTTACATTCCGTAGAGAGATAGAGGTTATTTAATTTGTGTAACATATATTATCTATATTCAGTTCCTGGTTCCGTCATCAGTTTAATCAACATTTATGCTCGGTTGACTTTTCTTAATTAAAAAAGGAAGATTAACTTAGCCATTAATTTATGATCTGAAAGTCTATGCCTCCACCTTGCCAAACAAATATCTAGTGCTTGCAAATGACTATGTGATTCCACTTGACTGGTTTTTAGTGACAACATGGCATAGTGACCTTAAAAGGGATAATGTGGTGTTAATGTAGTGTAAAGATACACCAGATAATGCCCACTGAGAAGCAAAATACACTGTTGCATCTCCACTTTGATTAAGCTACATTAAAACTACAAAAAAGGGATTAAAGAAAGCCAGGGAAGATCATAAGAGGGTTATTGTCATCCCCATCATGAAAGGCTGTGTTCAACTAGATGGAGATGCATCAACAATTTGCTGAATCGCTGCTGTATGCCAGGCAATCTGCTGAGCCCTGTAATATTCTTTATCTCATTTTATCCCTTCGATCTTTTTAAAAATTATTTATTTATTTTGTGCCAGCGTGTTCACATGCATGCCGTAGCACTGTGCAGAGAGCAGAAGAGAAGTTTCTTGGGTTGGTTCTTGCCTTCCACCTTATGAAACAGGGCTCCTCTTGTTGCTGTTATGGGGCTACATACTCCAGGCCAATTGGCCCTAGAGAGCGGCTTCCAGACAATTCTTCTGTCTCTGCACCTCATTTCAGCGGGAGAGACCAGGGGTTACAGAGGTGTCCCTCAGCATCTGGATGTTCCTGTGGATTCCAGCAATTGAATTCGGGTTGCCAGAATGGCATTGCTGGTGGTTTTACCCACCCAGCCATATCCTGATCCTTTTTCTTTAAAATTCTAACATCAATCTTACAAGATGGCTATTAGTAACTCATAGTCTGTAAGAATAAAGTAAGTCTCAATGAAGACACTAAAGTCACTTAGCACTGGGAAAAACTGAAATGTCAATCAAGAATTCTTAATCTCCCAGTGAAGCATACCATCATTTCAAATATAACCAAACATTAGGAAAAAACACAACCAGTCCAACTATGTCAAGATTGGAAGTATATGTAATGTGTGAGGTATTTAATAATACACCAGGGTTCACTGTTATTAATTGTGAGACTATCTTAAATTGTGTCTTGGACAATGCCCAGGGCCAGTCTACATGCTTAGGTGAATATTATTCTTTATGCAGTAGTGGCAGATTGAAGGAAAGCCTACATCTGTGAAGAAACCTTTCTCAATCCCCTTCCTCCTGGAAAAAGCAGAAAGCCCCAAAAGAATCCATCTAAGATGGAATCCCTTCTGGAAGAGTTTGAACTTCGAAGAAAACTGTAAAATGACCAGAAAAAAAACAGTTTGAACAAACAGTATCACAAACCTTCTCATTCCTTATTTGCCCCCAGAGGAACATGAGTTTCCTAAAGAAACGTGTGCTTTCTTCCCTTGACTTTTTCTCCCCTACCGTTTCTTTCTCATTTTAAGTTAGATGTATAAGCCTTATCCACTTAACGAGTCTCCTCTTTCATGTGCTCCCACGCTAATGCAAGTAATACAGTGTTGTTGGTTCTGCTTTGTTTCCTCTTGATAATCTACATCTAGTCAATTTAATTTCACCTCCGAAGCTGTCAACATAATTGGAGGAAAAGAACTATTTTCCTTCTTCTTCAGTTTGACAACGGTGATGAGTGTGCCTTCCCAGGTTACAGCAGATACGGAACGGCCTTTGGCCAAGACAGCGACAGTGTTTCTACAGTCAGACCCCATCTCTCCACCCTGTGGCTACCTCAATGGAGGCAGCTCTCTCATTTCTGTTCAAATGTTCTTCCCTTGAAGAAATACAGCAGGACAAGTGGGCCAATGTCATTGCTAAAGGCCGCCCCACATCTTTGAAAATAGCTTATAAGAAAGGAGAAGAGAAGGACTTAAAAATCAATAATCCTTGCCTTAAATGTCAATATCAAATATCACTACAAACACAAAAACAATATCAAACCAAAACAAACCAGAAAGGGGTATCTAAGAAGAACTCAAAGCCCACACATTTTTCTTATCGACCATAAATACTTCTTTGTTCATCTTAAGAAAATTCAGATATCGGAAAAACTCAGGACATAAAAGGATGGGCTATGTCTCAGGCAAAGAAATGTTCAGACAGCAATTTACTCCAGGCTGTTAGCCTCAAGAAGGCTGATCATAGACCTTCCATCCCATCTAGGACTCAACATATACTTTAAAAAGTGCAGGCTCCCACAATATATGACTCCCTCTTTCCTCCATCAAATGTCTATGCTGTAACAAAAAGTGCACATAAATTACATTGGCATCCATAATCCCAGGTCTCAGGAATTAGAAACTGGAGCACTGTGAGTTCAAGGCCATGGTAAGACTGGGGTTCAGAAAAGGAACACAATATACATAAATTAAGTACCCCTGAAACTTTCCAAAATACAGAAACCGATACATGTAGTTTTAGCTTCATGTGCTTTTGGAAAATTATTGATCAGTAAGACTAATTTGGTACTAATTATTTAATAGAAGCAAGAATGTGTAGAGGCTCAAACAAAACAATGTAGTAGAAGCAGAAAATATTTGAGTCTACATGTAGTTTTGTCTGTTAGACTTTTATGATTATAGAGCTTATGAGTTTGATTTTAATTAAATCAACTCATTGCTGCAGGCTTTTTTTCAATAATGATAATATGTTGTAATCTGCCTAGAGTTTAACGTCATGATATTTTTTGTTAAGTTGGAAGTTAAATTCATACTAAATTAAAAGTAGAAATCAATTATGTATGTCTTCTCTGAGTTAGATACAATATTGAGACACTAATGGCTGAGCAGAAGACTACATTTGACTTTGTATTTTCCTAGAAAAATTTTAGATGTCTGTGTCCGCTGATAAGCACATTGTCTCCATATTGCTCAGTTGTCCTTTAAAAGCCATGCCTCCACATGTTATGATTTAGTGTATTCCTGCATTCCCTTGTCTATTACGAAATGCTGCATTCCTACATACTGTTGGCGAGTCTTCTTTTCATTTTCAGCAGATATTAAAGTGTAGTGAGGGGTAAGAATGTGAATACATGTAATTAAACTGCTGGGAAGAAGACCGTGAAGAGGGGAAAATCTCGGCAAAGCACTAAGGAACACAGGGCATGGCTTTGCTCAGCAATAGTCATGTTCTGAAATAATGCTGTTTGAGATTGTTTTAAAGTTTCCGGGATAGCCAGAATCCCCAAACAAGCTCGATCTTACCCCTGTCAGAACAGTGTCATAAAGAAAATGAATAATAAGGGAAAGATGGGAAGGATGGAAGGAGGAATCATTATACAATGCTGATTATGGAAATATAAATTAGTATTGCCACCATGTAAGTCAGTATGAAGGTTCCTCAAAAAGATAAAAATAAAAATACCATATGATCCTTAAAAAAAAAGATTCCGGGATAAGAAAGAAAAAAGTGAAAGACAAAAATCTGAATGTACACAGACATTGCCAAAACTCTGTGGGAACCAAAAAACACAGAGAAAGCGGAGAGAGGGAAGCTGACTGCAATTGGATGGATTAGCATAAAGTTTTAAATTGACCCTCAATACCCAGAGCTCAGGTTTCTTTCTCTGTTAAAAGGAAGTGTTTGAAAAACTGGGCACTGAAGCTCACCTGTGTAATCCTCACATTTCAGAGTCGGAGGCTGGGGAACAGTCAAGAGTCTAAGGCCTGCATGAACTAACAAATCTGATTCTGTCCCCAA